CCGCTCGACCGGCTACACCCAGACTTTGCCGTGGCTGAACCCCCAGGCTGTGCCAACGCACCACGGTCATTTGTCCCAGGAAACCAGGTCTTTGCCCGGAACTATGTGGGGGACATCCCTTGGGTGCCAGCCACAGTAGTGGGAGTCACTGGACCTCGCTCGTACCAGGTGGCACTCGAAGACGGACGCTTGTGGCGACGGCACATAGACCAGCTTAGGCGCAGGGTTGGGGACTTGGACACTACCGAGGTGCCCCCAACTGCGTTTGCGGCTCCAGAAGAGACACGTACAGATGGCGAGGCCCCACCTACACCTCCCTCGCAAACTGCCAGCGTGGAGCCGAACCAAGCCGTTTCAGAACAGACTCAGACCACTCCACTTGCGGAGGCTCCACTCACAGCAGCGGATCCAGGGGAGTTGGTTCCAACGCCACCTAGGGTCGCACCACAGCCTCAGCGAGAACTGTGTGGCCCTCCGGACTTGGCTACCAGTCCCCGGCGGTCTGGCAGAGTTTCCAAGCGCCCAACTCATTTAAAGGACTATGTTGTTGGACAGGTATCACTGTTGGTCTAAGTATGGGAAATGTAACCGATATGCTTTTGTGCCTAATTGAACCATTACGCGTAGTGCTGTATATAAGGAAACCATTACGATTGTAACTAACGCCTTATCTCGGTGGGGAGGGGTGTTATGTAGTGTAGTTTCACCCTGGGCCAACAGGGGGATACTGTATATAGTTTTCACTCAGGTCTGTAGATAGTTTTCACTCAGGTCCGCGCCAGTTATTTTAGGCGGGAACTCTGGGCTGTTGTGGTTACAATGTTGACAGCCGGCTGCCTATAAATACAGGCCGGCTGAGCTGTTCGCAGTCAGTTCTATTCCAGCTTACCATAATAAAGAGCTACTTGAAGAAATCTCAACCCATGACTTAACAGTGATGTATGGAAGTGAGAGCTGGACCATAAAGAAGGTTGATCGCCGAAGAATGGATGCTTTTGAATTCTGGTGCTGGAGGAGACTCTTGAGAGTCCCATGGACTGCAAGAAGATCAAACCTCTCCATTCTGAAGGAAATCAGCCCTGAGTGCTCACTGGAAGGAGATAACTTAGATAACTCCTCTGGGGGTGGTCCAGCTTGGATGCCCCAAGAGGAGACGGGCTGCGAGGCTCAAAGGGAGCGAAGAGAGCCGAGACGTTTCATTGCGGAGCCATCCCCGAGCCCTCCCGCAACCCCCTTGTCACAACCTCCCAGTTGTTACGGGAAAATTCTGGGTACGGGGCTACTCTGCCACCCAGCTCGTCGGACTAGGTCCGCGGGTCCCTGCGGAAGAAAATGAGCTCAGCCGGACGCAGGAGCAAACTGCAGAAGATCCAAGTTTATTGCGCAACAGGTTCAAGGCGAGATTGAACAGCGAGAAAGGGGTGACATGAACTTTTGAAATTTCCCTCCATATCCCAGAATACAGTGCAAAATACATCCCAGTTACATCATGAATACATTAAGAAGAGGTTGGGTTACACAGATTACATCATGAATACATTAGGAAGAGGTTGGGTTACACCGGATTAACATATGGAGGAGGGAGGGGGGAATATGCAGAGCTGGAGATATGCGCAGATAAGCACATCCTGAGAAGACAATGGTCCATGTATGCGTAGTCTGTCACCTGGCATCTCTGGGAGGAAGGGCTTGGCAGAGCGATTTGACCGGATTAGGGTCTTGACACCTTGCTTGAGGGATTATGGAGGACAGTGGAGGTGTCATGGGGTCCTAGAGAAATTGAGCAAATTGGCACGTTGATTTTCTATGAATTTTATAGATTTTAGTCCCTTTTGACATTGACAATTGGAAATAAATGGATATATTGTAGCGAAGAAGGAGGTGAAGAATACATGCCCCCCCTCCGTATCACAGTCCCGCGGCGCCTTGCGCAAGGGGTGCCCGAACGCTTTTTCAAAGAGAGCCAGTTTTGATGAAGTGAACATGCGTGAGGGCCGACCAAAGCTTTCTTTACGGTTTTACCCCAGTGTTGTTGAACTTTTTTGTTGATTCAAGTTGTTGAGCTTTTAGGCGGGGTTTTACCCCAGTAAATAAACTAGGCGCCTTTGGACTTTGAACATACCTGCCCTTGCGGAATCCTCCGCCCCCTGGGACCCGAACCTAGCACCAGATTCGCTTTCGCTTCCGCGTGGTGAAGCTCCCCGCCCCACATCTCGGGGGCGACCTCCGGGGGAAGGGCAAGCAGGGAAGACCCCCCAGCCTAGCTGCCGCTCCGAGGTAGGGGCTCCTTCGCGGGTGGGCGGCAAGCTGCCAGCCAGTCGGGAGTCACCCCCCAGATATGGGGTTCGGGCCTTTGGCGCGGAGACCTTCGGAGGGTTAGGGTCTGCCGGGGTGGGTCGGGGGGTGGTCCTTCTCTCCCTGGATCCCGGGGAAGGGGAGGTCACGCTGGTCGCAAGCGCTTCGATGAGAGCTGGGCAAGGGCGCCCCTGCCGGTGCCAGGAGTCCTGCCCCCTAACCCCCACTCCCGTTGGACGTGTTGTAAAAACCGGGGGTCGCCTGTGAGGCTCAACCCACGGAGAGTGGCGCTTTCAACCCCGTGTGTGGGTTTCCCCGTGTTTGTGGCTGTGCGTTTAACGCACTCCTGTGCACGCCTTCCTACCTAGCGCACTTACAGACGTGCGCTTCTTGTACAGAGCCTCGGTTTCCTTACATCAGGCGCAAGGGCTCCTTCTCCTGCCTCCCGGGGACACCCCGATCCGGGGAGCCCCCTCTAACCCCAGCCTCCTAGCGGGAGGAAAGGGGGAGCCCCAGCAGGGCTCTCCAGGTGTTGCTGGACTCCCGCTCCCTCCCTGGAGAACACTGGCCTTGCAGGGAATTAAAGAGTCCAGCCATATCTGGTGTTTGCAGAACTTTTGTCCCGAGAGGACTGGGCAAAGTCAGGGAGGAGGGAGGGTGTCCTTGGCTCCGAGCCACAATACAGACTCTGCTGTGCCTTAGTGAATGGTGATCCGCTCCACTGTCAAACTGCTCTTACTGTCAGAAAGTTCTTCCCGATGTTTACGCTGCAATGTCCTTTCTTGTAACTGAACTCAGGCTTGCTTCATGTCCCATGTGGCAGCCCTTGAGATGTTTGAAGACAGCTACCATATCTCCGCTCAGTCTCCTCTTTTCCCGGCTAAGCATACCCAGCTCCCTCAACCACTTCTCATCAGGCTTGGTTTCTAGACCTTTGATCATCTTGGCAGCCCTTCTCTGCATACCTTCCAGCTTGTCAACATCCTCCTTAAATTGTGCTGCCCTGGACTTCTGATGATGCAGCCTAGAATCACATTCGTCTTTTTTTGCTGCTGCATCACAGCGTTGACTCATATTGAGCTTGTGGTTTACTAAAACCCCTGGATCCTTTTCACAGTGCGCTCTCTCTCTCTCTCTCTCTCTCTCTCTCTCTCTCTCTCCCTTCAAGGCAACCTCCCTGCAGCAGGGACCACCCCACCATGGCTGCCAAGGCCCCGTCCCTCTCCGAAGCCCTCACCAGCGGCTTCCTGACCTGCACCATCTGCCTGGAGCGCCTCCGCCGCCCCAAGATCCTGCCCTGCCTGCACAGCTACTGCCAGGAGTGCCTGCGGAAGTTGGCAGGAGGCCGGAAGGAGCTTCAGTGCCCCGAGTGCCGTGAGCGGGTGGCCCTCCCACAGGGGGGCGTGGGCGCCCTCCGGACCAACTTCTTCATCAACGGCCTGCTGGACCTGGTCCGCCCCACGGGGGAGGCAGAGCCCACCTGCAGCCTTTGCCCGCTCATTGGCCAGGAGACCGGCTGGCCGGCCGTCTCCCGCTGCCTGGACTGCGCTGACGACATGTGCCGGGACTGTGCCAGCGGGCACCGCTGCTCCCGCCTCACCCACCTCCACCGCGTTGTGGCCATGGAGGACTACCTCTCCGGGGAGCACGACGAGGAGATCCGGAAGCGCCAGGCGCTGCAGTGCAAGGAGCACCCCGGCGAGGAGCTGCGCTTCTTCTGCACGCCTTGTACCGTCATCCTCTGCCGGGAGTGCCGGCTGGGGGCCCACCTCCAGCACCCTTGCCTGCCCCTGGCTGAGGCGGCCCAGGCCCGCCGGCCGGTCATCGTGGAGCTCCTGGCCGGGGTGGAGGAGACGGTGCAGGTCATCCGGGCGGGGAGGGCCAGCCTGGAGAGGGAGGCTGCGCAGCTGCAGGTGCGCGAGGCTAGCATCCGGGATGCGGTGGAGGAGGCGTGCTCGCAGGCGGTGCAGCGGCTGCTGGCGCAGCAGGAGGAGGTCCTGGGCCAGCTGGCGGACTACGGGAAGGAGCGGCAGAAGGCCTGCCAGGCCCTCTGCTCCGATCTGGAGTTCCAAGAGCAGGTGGCCTCCAGCACCGTGGCCTTTGCCCAGAAGGTGCTGGGCCTGGGGAGGGAGGTGGAGATCGTCTCCCTGGAGCAGGTCATCTGTGAGCGTCTCAGGCATCTGCAGGGCTTCTCCTGGGAGCCGTTGGCCACCCGCCTGCCCTGCCTGGAGGTCAACGCTGAGATCGAGGGCAGCGGCCCTTGCCTGTTCCACCTGGAGTTCCGGGAGGAGAGCCCCACTGGAGTGCCGGAGGGGCCCCAGGAGGCAGCCACAAAAGGGGCAAAGAAAGAGACCCACCTGCCCTGCTTGGAGGTCAACGCTGAGATCCCCACTGGAGTGCCGGAGGGCGCCAAGGAGGCAGCCACAAAAGGGGCCAAGAAGAAGACCCACCTGCCAGAGAGCCCCCAGGAGGCGGCCACAAAAGGGGTAAAGAAAGAGACCCGCCTGCCCTGCCTGGAGGTCAACGCTGAGATCCCCACTGGAGTGCCGGAGGGCCCCCAAGAGGCAGCCACAAAAGGGGCGAAGAAGAAGAGGAGGAAGCAACAGCAGCAAGTGCCGCCTGCCAAGGAGGGATTCCACATGACCACCCTCATCCTCAGGGGCTGCCTCCATGCCGTAGCCCCTGTGCCTCCTCCCAAGGTCCCAGGAACCCCCCTTCTGACACCCAAGCCTCTCTTCTCGTGTAGCTTCTGCGTCAAGATCCCCAGTGACAAGAAGCGTCCTCAGGTCACAGGGCTCTGCCCCTTTGGCTCTGGAGAGCTTCTGGTGGCTGACAATCAAAACCAGAATCTGAAGCGCTTCTCCCTGAAGGGGGAGTTCAAGGGCACTGTCCCTGTCCCCAGTGGTGTGGCCCCGGTCAGCTTGGCCACCGTGGGCAGCAAGGTGGCCTTCACGGCTGGCTCCTGCCTCTACCTCCTGAATGGTGAGGGTGACCTGGTGTGGCAGAAGGCTCTGGGGCAGGGGCAGGCCAGCCATGCCGTGGCAGCACTGGGGGGAGACCGTATGGCAGTGTGTGTGGCTGGGCAGCTGGAGGTGTACAACCTGGAGGGGCGACTGCTGGAGAAGATTGTTCCTGAGGACAGTGCAGAGAGGTGCCTTGTCTTCCTGGCCAACCACAAGGACGGCTTTGTAGGCTCCGACTGGTACCGCCGCAGCGTGGCCCTGTTCACCAAGACGGGGCAGCTGGTGGCCGAGTGCTCTGAGGAGCAGCTGGGCGAGTGCCAGCCGGGGGCCGTTTGTGCCGACATCATGGGCATCATTTACGTGGTCTTGCAGGAGCTGAACAAGGTGGTGGCCTTCTCCCCCAGTGGGAAGGAGTTGGGGCCGTTCCTCACTGCCGAGAACAGCATCGACCAGCCGCGGGTGGTCACGGTAGCTAGGGAGGGGCGCTTTGCCGTGGCTCTGGGCGACGGCACTGTCCACATCTTCCGGATCAGGTATCAGGGCAAGTGAGCCAGAGAAAGGGCAAGGGAGGGGGGTTAAAAGCTGTATGTCCCAGAGTTAAGGACCCAAGGCAGACTGGTGTTCCCATGGTCACACAGGGTGAGCAATGGTGTGTGTAGGAGACTAAAAGCATGGCTTTACTTTGTATCTCTTTTGTGATCACCATTCCTCTCTTTCCCCCCTATAAATATCATTCAATAATAAAACAAACATGTATATTTGCATCTTTGCAAGAGAGGACAATTGTATATGAGCTGAAATAAAGAGTCTGGATAAAAAACTTCCTGCAGTTCTGATATTTTTGTCCTGGGATGCTTTCAGGTGGGAACTTAATATGTAAAAGGGCCACAGAAACATCTTGTATGAGAAGCATAAACTCCACAGCAAACAGCTGACTGGGAACCCCCCCCCATTTTTGAACATGCAGAAACTCCACTGGGAGCAGCCAGAGAGTCTGGGAGGAGGAGCTCACCTGTTCAGAAATGGGGCAGAATCTCACCATACAGCATATTGGCAACAACAATGAGCAGATATTTGTTTCATTCATTCATTTGGCACCCCAAAGCGATTTACAATATATTATAACAACTAAATGAATTGCAAATATGGAATCTTGTTATATATATGAGAACAGCTTCAAACAACAATGCCTAAAATCAGTCTGATTCCAATGCTGGTACTGGCTGGAATTGTTGCAGGAATATATGTATAGGTTGGGGGGGTTGCCCCTCCAGCAGATATCCTGGGGTCAGCCTCTTTTCTTTTTGGCCTTAGGCCTGCCCCCGGCCAGCCATTGTTCTCCCTGGCTGAGGGCAGGTCAAAGGCTAGCTCAAGCAGGTGGGTGGCACCCGCCCAGGTGAGCCTCGCTCGGTGCCACAAACCGGGCCCACCTGTGGGGAAGGGAGGGCGGATATTGTGGGCACACGCGCTAAACCCTGTCTGTGGTGCCTATCCCTTTCCCCAAATGATGAGACAAGAGACAGGAGTATGAGTTCAAATTGGCCACAACTTTATTGAGCTTCAGAAGTGGGAAACTTGGCACAGGCCTTGGCAGGTAACCCTCTCAGCCAGCCTGGCTGAGGATATGCAGGCAGTTGAGGCCCAGTGAGAGGGGACTGCATAGCGCAAACTTACACAGCATGCCCTTCCACTGACCTTGTCCAGGGAGTTTGACCTACATGCCGCTGCTCTAGGATCAGGGACTCCTGGTTTTGCCCTTCAATGGGCCCTGCAAGCGCCGCCGCATGGGGAGGGAGCATGAATGCATCCCCCCCCAACTTGATGTTAGACTAAAGGCTACCTTGCCAAGGCCTAAAAACCGCCACTTGAGGCCCTAAGGGGCCTTGCCGCCAAGTCCCACAACCGAGGACCAATCAAACCCCTCCAGTGAAGACGGGGTAGGAGATTGGACCAGCCGATGGTCATTGATGGGTACAAGGCACGCAGGCTTTTCAAATCTGCGCTTGCAGCAAGGGCAAGTGCAAGGCCTTTTTGCTCCACTAGATCGTTCTCCCTTGCATGTATAATCAAGACCCCTGGAGGGCCATGGGTCGCTGTGGCACTACACAGCATGCGCATCAAGCTCTGCCAATGCATGCCCCGCTGGCCATCCAACAAAAGTGTACCTTGGGGTGGATGTTATGCTTATGGCCATGATTTTGAGACCGTGCATAATCTGCCGCCCAATGGACAATGCTGTGGCCTATCACCCATATCTTCATGGTGGGCAAACCTGTATGACAATTAAATTGCAAGTGATAAGGAGGAGGAGCCGGGACGAATGTAACTTTTGTAGGCTGCTGAACACCAGCGCCCCAATGTCTTGATGTGTGCTGGGTCTCAACCCTATATCGCCGCTGTATCGTTCCCTGATATGGAACGAGTGCCCGGAATATTCCTGGGGACTAACACCGCAAGCAGATGAGGCTTTGCGTAAAACCACTGTGAATTGTGATCGCGTCAACGGGCGCGTGTTTGAGTGAATGAAGAAAAGGCCCTTGGACTGTGGCCACTCCCCAATGCACATGGCACCCAAAAAGGCTAGGGAGAATGCTGTCCGATAGAGACAAGTTTCAAAATTTGACCAGCAGATCTCTGGTAGTTTTTTCCAAATTAGATAAAGTATATCTATGGTGATAGGCTTCCTGCCATCCTGACGTGGGGGAATGACTCGCCGCCACCCAGCCAGCAACTTCTTGACATGGAAGCTGTCACAGGGGTCTGGCCAATGACGGAATTTACAAAAGAAAGAAATAGCCGCCCTGTAAAGAATTAAAGTTTTTATGGCATGGCCCTTGCGCTTTAGGAGCACCAAGAATTGAAGCACCTCCTCCTCGGATGCACGCCATGTTGCAGAGCCACAAAAGCGCCCAAAGGCATCCCAGGCCCTGGAATAAGAATGTCTAGAGGAGGGTGCTATTGCTGCCAACACTCCCTGGTATACTTCTCGCTTCCAATCTCCCACAGATCGTCTGGGAAGGTGTCTGGGAACTGGGCTGCTTCTGGTGCCATCGCGCGGAAACACTCCATCTGGAAATGAGACAGTGCGTCAGCAATGTTATTGATAAGGCCAGGTATGAAGCGGGCACAAACAGGCGCAGGACCCTTATGACCCTCTGGGACTTTGCTGACTGCCTAGATATAACTCTTACCACCGCTTGATTGTCGGACCAGAAACAGACCCTGGAATTTGAGAAGAGGGTTCCCCAGATGCGAATGGCAACTAGAATAGAAAAGAACTCCAGAAAGGTTAAATCCCGAATAATGCCTGCTGCGTGCGAAGAAGATGGCCATGGCTGGGCGCACCAATGTCCAATTCAATACCCAAGTAGGAAAGGATAGTCGAAGGGCCCTCGGTCTTGTCAGTAGCCAGAGGTAGGCCAAAGTCAGCTGCAAGGCGTATGAATGTATCTAGGGATAGAGCACAGTCAGGGGAGTCTGTGGCCGCCATAATAAGAAAGTCATCTAAGTAATGGGTGACGAAAGGGGAACCAGATGTGGTTTGGAAGGCCCATGCAATGAATGTGCTGAAGGTTTCAAAGGCTGTGCAGGCCACAGAGCAACCCATGGGCATAGCCTTCTCAAAAGACCAGCTATCCCTGAATTTGAGTCCTAGAATCCAAAAATCTTCAGGATGAACCGGGAGCAGCCGGAAGGCTGACTCAATGTCACATTTTGCCATTGATCCTGGAAGGAAGGAGCAAAAGAGGCTTGAGCCGAGGGGTCAGCCTCTTTTCTCTTGGCCTTAGGCCCACCCCTGGCCGGCCATCCATTGTACACACTGGCCAAGGGCGGGTCAAAGGCCAGCTTAAGCAGGTGGGTGTCACCCGCCCAGGTAAGCCCCACTCGGTGCCTCAAACCCCGCCCACCTGTGGGGAAGGGAGGACAGATATTATCTCTTTGACATCTGCTGGGAGGGCGTTCCACAGGGCAGGCGCCACTACTGAGAAGGCCCTCTGCCTGGTTCCCTGTAGCTTTGTTTCTCGCAATGAGGGAACCACCAGAAGGCCCTCAGCGCTGGATCTCAGAGTCCTGGCAGAACGATGGGGGTGGAGACGTTCCTTCAGGTATACCGGGCCAAGGCCATTTATGGCTTTAAAGGTCAACACCAACACTTTGAATTGTGCTCGGAAATGTACTAATACATCACTCATACAACACGGCTATATCATGAAAGGGGAGGTCTGGTGGCAGGAATCTGAGCATCCTGGACCCTGCCCCATGGTTCCCCTTGCCCTCCACCAAACACCCATCAAGTGGAACAAAAGAGATCTTTCCATTTCCCTGTTTCCCAGCCCAGTTAATCCCACCCTTTTGTCTTCATCTGAGTTTGTTATTTCTGGAATGGCTACCTGTCTGGCACTCAGGTATCAGGATGCTAGGAATGATCACTCAGGCAGAGGGGCTGCTGAGGAGCTGAGCTCACAGGTCTATAGGAATTTCTGGAGTTTTCCCAGTGAGCCAGTACAGAGATCCATTGATCAGTGAATTCTTACATTTGGTATCACGCAGCAAAGGCCCTTTGAATAGATAGGAAGAAACTGTGATGAAGTGTTTTGTGGGGACAAATCACAAAAGTCACAAAAGTGATTGTGCTGGTTTTGGTAGTGGGCTGCATGTGCAGGATATCTGCTGGAGGGGCAACCCCCCCAACCTATACATAAATTCCTGCAACACTAGGAGCCGTCAACAGCCTTCTCCTCAGGCTGTATCAAAGCAACAGCAGCCCAGAGTCTCCTGGGGGCGGCTTAAAGACTCCCACTTGTGTTGGGGCAGAATATTTCTTTCAGGGGCTGCTGTCTCCTCCAGGATCCTGGCTATGATTCCTGCATTGCAGGGGCCTGGGCTGGGTGGCCCTGGGGGTCCTCTCCAAATCTACGATTCTAGGATTCTGCCATCATCACCACCTGCATAGAGAGAGACCCCGAATTGCACGTATGTTTATGCGTGTGAGAATTGAGAATACACACAAACGCACATGCATGGTCTGTGTGGGTGTTCCACAGAGGTGGAATTGAAATCCTCAAAGGTCAGAAGGAAATGAAACTGCTGGGGGTTTGCCAGATGACACTCAGGGTCCTTTCCAATGATTCTACAATCTTTATTCCAGCCAGTATCAGCATTGGAATCCGACTGATTTTAGGCATTGTTGTTTGAAGCTGTTCTCATATATATAAGAAGAGTTTCCATATTTGCAATTCATTTAGTTGTTATAATATATTGTAAATCGCTTTGGGGTGCCAAATGAATGAATTAAACAAATATCTGCTCATTGTTGTTTCCAATATGCTGTATGGTGAGATTCTGCCCCATTTCTGAACAGGTGAGCTCCTGCTCCCAGACTCTCTGGCTGCTCCCAGTGGAGTTTCTGCATGTTCAAAAATGGGGGGGGGGGGGTTCCCAGGGAGCAGTTTGCTGTGGAGTTTATGCTTCTCATACAAGATGTTTCTGTGGCCCTTTTACATATTAAGTTCCCATCTGAAAGCATCCCAGGACAAAAATATCAGAACTGCAGGAAGTGTTTTATCCAGACTCTTTATTTCAGCTCATATACAATTGTCCTCTCTTGCAAAGATGCAAATATACATGTTTGTTTTATTATTAAATGATATTCATAGAAAAAGAGAGATGGATGGTGATCACAAAGCATGTTCTTCTGTCAGATTGTTCCGGAAGGCACAGACGGGATCCCCACTCAGTGATGGTCTCCTTGGGGTGCAAATGAATATAACGTTCAGGCTTAATATCCTGCCCCACACTCTCAGATTCGCGCTCCGATTACACACACTCTGTTGTGTTGTGTTATGCCCCATTTAGCAGCTGGAAGCTGGCCACACCAGCAGGCCAAATCCGAGAGCCCTCCTGCGTAACGGATTCTGCCACCCTTTTGCAGAACACCTGGCCAAGCCCTGAGTTTCCTCCTGAGAGCAGAAAAGGCACGTTGGAAAGGTTATGGTGCCCACCATCTTGTCAGAGGGGTCCTCCTCTGTCAGAAGTTTTTAAAAAGTGGCTCCTAAGACCCTTAATCCCTTAATCTGAATAAAACTGGTGAAAACGCAGAGAGTTTGTTGAATACAATATGTCCTTGCAAGAGCAGGTGTCCAAAGCAGGCACACCCAAAACTGACAAAGCATAAGCTTATATTCGCTATACCTGAAGCGCAGGTTCCCTCCCTTGTCTCCCCACTGGCTGGGTACTGCAAGGTTTACAGCCCATCACGACCGCCTAATTTCCCTACTAATTTCCCGCCTTTGTCGACATCTCCCATCACTCTGATTTCGAGGACCACTCCTGTTTACCTTTCTCCTTATTTGGTCCATGCTTTCTATGTTTTTGGGGACACGGGTGGCGCTGTGGGTTAAACCACCAATAAAGCGAGATGAGCGCTGCAACCCAAGAGTCGGCCACGACTGGACCTAATGGTCAGGGGTCCCTTTACCTTTACTTCTATGCTTTCACACATTGACTCAAGAGATAAGGCCACATCCTGACCACTAACAGGTGTAAACAAGTTCTATACCTGTTGAAGTATTGTGATAGGAATTTTGAGGTCTTGGGTATATGTTAAATGCTCATAAGTGTACCAACCAAGCACATACATAGATCAGCCCAGGAAGACCGACCTGAAACCATTTTGATTCCCAAACTGAGCAAATGTTTTCTCTGCAAGGTCAAAGTGGGAATCTCCCCCATTGTTTCTTTCCTCACAAATTCTGTCTTAAGGGCACACTTAAGATATGAATAGGGTGTGAGCCTGACCTGGCTCAGGAACTAGGTATTTATCATTACAACAGACTGGCCAGGCTCCCCAGGGTATCCAATCAAGTGACCATTAACAGGTAACCTGCCAGACAGGAGGTAAACAAGGCACTCAGATTTCTGCTTTAGACAGCCCCTTTCTGTGATGTAGGTATGATGTTTTTGGGGGTGGTCTTGGATCTTCAGGGTGGGAATTTCAAAAGTCTATATAAGGCCTTGCACACCATTGTTCTGGGTTCCTCCTCCCTTCCTGCTGGGTGAGGGGAGTACCCTGTTGCAACAGATCAATAAAGATCAGGCTTACTAGCTGCTTTGCTTCTCAATATTCTCTGGTTGGCCTCTGTTATTTTCTCCTACCAATAAGGAACCTATGTAAGGACTCTGTATGGGCTCTTGGATTCCCCATAACAGAAAAGGGCAGATTTTTTGGTATACAAACTGTTATGTAGTGTAGTTTCACCCTGGGCCAACAGGGGGATACTGTATATAGTTTTCACTCAGGTCTGTAGATAGTTTTCACTCAGGTCCGCGCCAGTTATTTTAGGCGGGAACTCTGGGCTGTTGTGGTTACAATGTTGACAGCCGGCTGCCTATAAATACAGGCCGGCTGAGCTGTTCGCAGTCAGTTCTATTCCAGCTTACCAGAATAAAGAGCTACTTGAAGAAATCGCTGTGCCGGCTGCTATGTCAACCCACGACTTAACTCAAACAAACCGTCCCATTTACGGGCATCCTGACTGCAAGCTGGTCTAAATATAAGAGTAAGCAGGTCTATCTAGCTGTTGCAGCCTTTTGGATTTTTGGTGAAAAAAGCAGCATTATCATTCCTCACATCCTCTGGACTTTTTCATGCCCTGATTTACCCGAGAGAACAAAAGGAATGTAAACTTTGGCAGTTAGGCGATCTATGCCAGGTTCTATCATTTCCACATTGCCCTCTGCTGGCCGCCATTGGGAACAACAACCCCAGGTAAGTAAAGCACAACTCTGGGAGCCGACCCAATCCAGACAGGAGGGCAGGCGGGAGGAACTGCTGCTTTTACTCTCCTACACACACCATTGCTCACCCTGTGTGACCATGGGAACACCAGTCTGCCTTGGGTCCTTAACTCTGGGACATACAGCTTTTTACCCCCCTCCCTTGCCCTTTCTCTGTCTCCTTGCCCTGATACCTGATCCGGAAGATGTGGATGGTGCCGTTGCTGAGAGCCACGGCAAAGCGCCGCTTCCCAGCCACTGTGACCACCCGCGGTCGGTTGATGCTGTTCTTGGCACTGAGGAACGCCCCCACCTCCTTCCCTCTGGGGGAGAAGGCCACCACCTTGTTCAGCTCCCGTAGGACCACGTAGATAATGCCCGTGGCGTCAGCACAAACAGCTCCTGGCTGGCACTCGCCCAGCTGCTCCTCAGAGCACTCGGCCACCAGCTGCCCCGTCCTGGTGAACAGGATCACGCTGCGGCGGTACCAGTCCGAGCCCACAAAGCCGTCCTTGTGGTTGGCCAGGAAGACAAGGCACCTCTCCCCACTTCCCTCAGGCACAATCTTCTCCAGCAGCCGCCCCTCCAGGTCGTACACCTCCAACTGCCCAGCCACACACACTGCCATACGGTCTCCCCCCAGCCCCACCACGGCATGGCTGGCCTGCCCCTGCCCCAGAGCCTTCTGCCACACCAGGCCACCTTCACCGTTCAGGAGGTAGAGGCAGGAGCCGGCTGTGAAGGCCACCTTGCTGCCCACGGTGGCCACGCTGACCGGGGCCACGCCACTGGGGACGGGGACAGTGCCCTTGAACTCCCCCTGCAGGGAGAAGCGCTTCAGATTCTGGTTTTGCTTGTCGGCCACCAACAGCTCTCCAGAGCCAAAGGGGCAGAGCCCCGTGACCAGGGGGCACTTCTGGTCGCTGGGGATCTTGACGCAGAAGCTACACAAGAAGAGAGGCTTGGGTGTCAGAAGGGGAGTTCCTGGGACCTTGGGAGGAGGCACAGGGGCTACGGCTTGCTGGCAGCCCCTAAGGATGAGGGTGGTCATGTGGAATCCCTCCTTGGCAGGCTGCTCTTGCTGCTGTTGCTTCCTCCTCTTCTTCTTTGCCCCTTTTGTGGCCGCCTCCTGGGGGCCCTCTGGCAGGCGGGTCTCTTTCTTTGCCCCTTTTGTGGTCTCCTCCTGGGGGCCCTCCGGCACTCCAGTGGGGATCTCAGCGTTGACCTCCAGGCAGGGCAGGCAGGTCTCTTTCTTTGCCCCTTTTGTGGCTGCCTCCTGGGGGCCCTCTGGCAGGTTGGTCTTCTTCTTGGCCCCTTTTGTGGTCTCCTCCTGGGGGCCCTCCGGCACTCCAGTGGGGCTCTCCTCCCGGAACTCCAGGTGGAACAGGCAAGGGCCACTGCCCTCGATCTCAGCATCGACCTCCAGGCAGGGCAGGCGGGTGGCCAGTGGCTCCCAGGAGAAGCCCTGCAGATGCCTGAGACGCTCACAGATGACCTGCTCCAGGGAGACGATCTCCACCTCCCTCCCCAGACTCAGCACCTTCTGGGCAAAGGCCACGGTGCTGGAGGCCACCTGCTCTTGGAACTCCAGATCGGAGCAGAGGGCCTGGCAGGCCTTCTGCCGCTCCTTCCCGTAGTCCGCCAGCTGGGCCAGGACCTCCTCCTGCTGCGCCAGCAGCCGCTGCACCGCCCGCGAGCACGCCTGCTCCACCGCATCCCGGATGCTAGCCTCGCGCACCTGCAGCTGCGCAGCCTCCCTCTCCAGGCTGGCCCTCCCCGCCCGGATGACCTGCACCGTCTCCTCCACCCCGGCCAGGAGCTCCACGATGACCGGCCGGCGGGCCTGGGCCGCCTCAGCCAGGGACAGGCAAGGGTGCTGGAGGTGGGCCCCCAGCCGGCACTCCCGGCAGAGGACGACGGTACAAGGCGTGCAGAAGAAGCGCAGCTCCTCACCGGGGTGCTCCTTGCACTGCAGCGCCTGGCGCTTCCGGATCTCCTCGTCATGCTCCCCGGAGAGGTAGTCCTCCATGGCCACCACGCGGTGGAGGTGGGTGAGGCGGGAGCAGCGGTGCCCACTGGCACAGTCCCGGCACATGTCGTCAGCGCAGTCCAGGCAGCGGGAGACGGCCGGCCGGCCGGTCTCCTGGCCAATGAGCGGGCAGAGGCTGCAGGTGGGCTCTGCCTCCCCCGTGGGGCGGACCAGGTCCAGCAGGCCGTTGATGAAGAAGTTGGTCCGGAGGGCGCCCACGCCCCCCTGTGGGAGGGCCACCCGCTCACGGCACTCGGGGCACTGAAGCTCCTTCCGGCCTCCTGCCAACTTCCGCAGGCACTCCTGGCAGTAGCTGTGCAGGCAGGGCAGGATCTTGGGGCGGCGGAGGCGCTCCAGGCAGATGGTGCAGGTCAGGAAGCCGCTGGTGAGGGCTTTGGAGAGGGACGGGGCCTTGGCAGCCATGGTGGGGTGGTCCCTGCTGCAGGGAGGTTGCCTTGAAGGGAGAGAGAGAGAGAGAGAGAGAGAGAGAGAGAGCGCGCACTGTGAAAAGGATCCAGGGGTTTTAGTAAACCACAAGCTCAATATGAGTCAACGCTGTGATGCAGCAGCAAAAAAAGACGAATGTGATTCTAGGCTGCATCATCAGAAGTCCAAGGCACCACAATTTAAGGAGGATACAGTGGTACCTCGGGTTAAATACTTAAAAAGTTCTGGAGGTCCGTTCTTAACCTGAAACTGTTCTTAACCTGAAGCACCACTGCTGCTGTGCCACCAGAGCACAATTTCTGTTCTCATCCTGAAGCAGAGTTCTGAACCCAAGGTGCTATTTCTGGGTTAGCGGAGTGTGTAACCTGAAGCGTCTGTAACCCGAGGTATTGACAAGCTGGAAGGTATGCAGAGAAGGGCTGCCAAGATGATCAAAGGTCTAGAAACCAAGCCTGATGAGGAACAGTTGAGGGAGCTGGGTATGTATAGCCTGGAAAAGAGGAGACTGAGCGGAGATATGGTAGCTGTCTTCAAACATCTCAAGGGCTGCCACATGGGAAATGAAGCAAGCCTGAGTTCAGTTACAAGAAAGGACATTGCAGCGTAAACATCGGGAAGAACTTTCTGACAGTAAGAGCAGTTTGACAGTGGAGCGGATCACCATTCACTAAGGCACAGCAGAGTCTGTATTGTGGCTCGGAGCCAAGGACACCCTCCCTCCTCCCTGACTTTGCCCAGTCCTCTCGGGACAAAAGTTCTGCAAACACCAGATATGGCTGGACATTTGAACTCCCTGCAAGGCCAGTGTTCTCCAGGGAGGAGCGGGAGTCCAGCAACACCTGGAGAGCCCTGCTGGGGCTCCCCCCTTTCCTCCCGCTAGGAGCCTGGGGTGAGAGGGGGCTCCCCGGATCAGGGTGTCCCCGGGAGGCAGGAGAAGGAGCCCTTGCGCCTGATGTAAGGAAACCAAGGCTCTGTACAAGAAGCGCACATCCGTAAGTGCGCTAGGTAGGAAGGCGTGCACAGGAGCGCGTTAAACGCACAGCCACAAACACGGGGAAACCCACACACGGGGTTGAAAGCGCCACTCTCCGTGGGTTGAGCCTCACAGGCGACCCCTGGTTTTTACAACACGTCCAACGGGAGTGGGGGTTAGGGGGCAGGGCTTCTGGGTCCCCAGGAGACTCCTGGCGCCAGCGGGGGCACCCTTGCCCAGCTCTCATCGAGGCCCTTGCGACCAGCATGACCTCCCCTTCCCCGGGATCCAGGGAGAGAAGGACCGCCCCCCGACCCACCCCGGTGGACCCTAACCCTCCGAAGGTCTCCATGCCAAAGTTCACCCCAGAACCCCATATCTGGGGGGCGACTACCGACTGGCTGGCAGCTTGCCTGCCTGCCCGCGAAGGAGCCCCTACCTCGGAGCAGCAGCTGGGCTGGGGGTCCTCTCCACTTGCTCTCCCCCGGAGGTCGCCCCCGAGATGTGGGGCTGGAAGTGTCACCGCGCGGAAGTGAAAGCGAATTTGACGCTCACAGGGGGCGGAGGATTCTGCAAGGGCACGTATGTTCAAAGTCCAAAGGTTTAATCTGGCGCCTAGTTTATTTACTGGGGTAACCCCCTCCAAAAAAGCTCAACAACTTGAATCAACAAAGAGTTCAACAACATTGGGGTAAAATCGTATAGAAAGCTTTGGTCGGCCCTCACGCATGTGCACTTCATCAAATCTGGCTCTCTTTGAAAAAACGTTTGGGCACCTCTGCGCAAGGTGCCGCGGGACTGGAAGGTTGCGACAATGGGGTGGCGGGGGGGCTCGGGGATGGCAATTCTGTTAAAGGAGAAATCTGAGGGCTCCCTTGGACAAAAAGCAAGGACCCCAGCCAGGAATCCCAGAGCAAAACAGCAGCCAGTCGGCTCGGTCTTGATTGAAGACTGTCGTGACAGGACTCCCACCTGCCACCAGGTGGAACAAGATGGAAGCCCCATACAAAAGAGAACCCAAACTTTCATTAGCTGCTAATCCCCATGTTACCCCCTGACAATAATAATAATAATAATAATAATAATAATAATAATAATAATATATTATTTGTAACCCGCCCATCAGACTGGGTTTCCCCAGCCACTCTAGGCGGCTTCCAACAAAGATGAAAAATACATTAAAATGTCACACATTAAAAACTTCCCTGAACAGGGCTGCCTTCAGATGCCTTCTAAATGTTAGGTAGTTGTTTGCCGGCACACACGCTAAACCCTGTCTATGGTGCCTACCCCTTTTCCCAAATTATAAGACAAGAGACCAGAGTATGGGTTCAAATTGGCCACAACTTTATTGAATTTCAGAAATGGGAAACTTGGCACAGGCCTTGGCAGGTAACCTTTTGTAGGCTGCTGAACGCCAGCGCCCCAATGTCTTGATGTGTGCGGGGTCCCAACCCTGTATTGCCACTGAAGTGGCAGCCCCGATATGGAAGCAGTGCCCGGAATATTCCTGTGGACTAACACGACAAGCTGACAAGGCTTTGTGTAAGACCGCTGTGAATTGTGATCGTGTCAACGGGCGCATGTTTGAATGAATGAAGAAAGGGCCCTTGCACTGTGGCTGGATCCTGACAAAGCGGCGCATGTCGCGATATGGGCAGGGGCCCACCTGTTCCGTTGGCGACAGCGCCATCGTGACCCCTTTCCGCAATTGGTCAGTTTTTGCGGACCGAATCTTGACATTCAATATATGCCCAGAGAACTTGATTTCGGTGTCTGCCAAGCCTGATTGCAGAGGCCCAGCCAAACACTCCCCAATGCACATGGCACCCAAAAAGGCTAGGGAGAATGCTGCCCGAAAGATTTCAAAATTTGACCATCAGATCTCTGGCCGGGGGTGGGCCTAAGGCCAAGAGAAAAGAGGATGACCCCTTGGCCCAAGCCTCTTTTGCTGTTCTTCCTTCCAGGATCAATGGCAAAATGCGACATTGACTCAGCCTTCCGCCTGCTCCCGGTTCATCCTGAAGATTTTTGGTTTCTAGGACTCAAATTCAGGGATAGCTGGTATTTTGACAAGGCTATGCCCATGGGCTGCTCTGTGGCCTGCGCGGCCTTTGAAACCTTCAGCACATTCATTGCATGGGCCTTCAAATCCACATCTGGTTCCCCTTTCATCATCCATTACTTAGATGACTTTCTTATTATTGCGACCCCAGACTCCCCTGACTGCGCTCTATCCCTAGCTACATTCATGCGCCTTGCAACTTTGGCATACTTCTGGCTGCTGACAAGACTGAGGGCCCTTCGACTATCCTTTCCTACTTGGGTATTGAATTGGACACAATTCGGCAGTCATCGCGCCTCCCACAGACCAAGCTGGAATCCTTGAAAGTGTTTCTGGAGGCAATGCTTGGGGTTCAAAAGACCACCCTTTGCCAGGTGCAATCCCTATTGGGTCATCTTAATTTTGCATGTAGAGTAGTGGTGCCAGGCTGTGCCTTTTGTGCCCGTCTGGCTCGGCTCATGGCCGGGGGGGGGTAGCCCCCCACCATCACATCAGGGTGACAAAGCAGATAAAGGACAATCTGAGGGTTTGGCTTGCATTCCTGCAGGATTATAACCGGGTTTCATTTTGGCAGAAGAGCCTTAACCCCAGGGTGGAATTCCAGGTTCATTCTGATGCTTCTGGCCGCTTTGGCTTTGGCGTGTTCTTCAGTGGACATTGGTGTGCCCAGCCATGGCCATCTTCTTGGCACGCAGCAGGCATTATTCGGGATTTTACCTTTCTGGAGTTCTTTCCTATTCTAATTGCCATTCGCATCTGGGGAACCCTCTTCTCGAATTCCAGGGTCTGTTTCTGGTCTGACAATCAAGCGGTGGTAAGAGATATATCTAGGCAGTCAGCAAAGTCCCAGAGGGTCATAAGGGTCCTGCGCCTGTTTGTGCTGGAGTGCCTGTGGCACAATATTTATTTCACTGCCCGCTTCATACCTGGCCTTATCAATAACATTGCTGATGCCCTGTCTCGTTTCCAGATGAAGCGTTTCCGCGCGATGGCACCAGAAGCAGCCCAGTCCCCAGACGCCTTCCCAGACGATCTGTGGGAGATTGGAAGCGAGAAGTAAACCAGGGAGTGCTGGCAGCAATAGCACCCTCCTCTAGACGTTCTTATTCTAGGGCCTGGGATGCCTTTGGGTGCTTTCGTGGCTCTGTAACATGGCGCGCATCCGAGGAGGAGGTGCTTCAATTCTTGGTGCTCCTAAAGCGCAAGGGCCTTGCCATAAAAACTTTAATGCTTTACAGGGTGGCTATTTCTTTCTTTTCTAAATTCCGTCATTGGCCAGACCCCTGTGACAGCTTCCATGTCAAGAAGTTACTGGCTGGGTGGCGGCGAGTCATTCATAGAATCATAGAATCATAGAATCATAGAGTTGGAAGAGACCACAAGGGCCATCGAGTCCAACCCCCTGCCAAGCAGGAAACACCATCAGAGCACTCCTGACATATGGCTGTCAAGCCTCTGCTTAAAGACCTCCAAAGAAGGAGACTCCACCACACTCCTTGGCAGCAAATTCCACTGTCGAACAGCTCTTACTGTCAGGAAGTTCTTCCTAATGTTTAGGTGGAATCTTCTTTCTTGTAGTTTGGATCCATTGCTCCGTGTCCGCTTCTCTGGAGCAGCAGAAAACAGCCTTTCTCCCTCCTCTATGTGACATCCTTTTATATATTTGAACATGGCTATCATATCACCCCTTAACCTCCTCTTCTCCAGGCTAAACATGCCCAGCTCCCTTAGCCATTCCTCATAAGGCATCATTTCCAGGCCTTTGACCATTTTGGTTGCCCTCCTCTGGACACGTTCCAGTTTGTCAGTGTCCTTCTTGAACTGTGGTGCCCAGAACTGGACACAGTACTCCAGGTGAGGTCTGACCAGAGCAGAATACAGTGGCACTATTACTTCCCTTGATCTAGATGCTATACTCCTATTGATGAGGCCCAGAAT